ACACCACAGAGGATTGGACAATATAGTCGCAGAAGGCGTGGCTGGTATCAAGGAGGAGGGGCAGGGATCGACCAATACGAAGATGAGCACATAATATAGGTGACTTCTTGGATATGAAAGTGCACGAGGCGGGAGAACTGGCGAGAGACCGAGCTTGTTTCATGCAGAGAGCGACGTTCTGCAAACAACCTGCTACTTGAAGATGATAAACAATACTGCGTAGAAAAGTGGATATTCCTTAAATTAAATCCAAAAAAAAAATTAAGAACCCGTAAATAAGGGTTACATTAAAGTACAAGAAATATCCAAACATTACATTAAAAGTTAAATCGCTTAACCGAATCAGTAAGTCAGTGAGACCATCGAAGCAGTGTGATAAACAAATTGATATATGTACATTGATTAGCATTCACAGATGTAGAAGAAAGAAACAGAGGTTATGGAAACATTAGAAACGTCATGATAAACAAAATGATATACATTGATTAACATTTATAGATACAGAGGAAAGCAAGCGGAAATAATGAGAACATTTAAAACATGATGATAAACAAATTAACACAGTCAGTTCCCAGTAGAATAATATATATGAATTTTTATATCAAGAATGTTTTTCAACTCGACTGACTCAAGAATATCGGGCAAGAATCACGTTAGGGATTTTCGATTTTATCAAATAAAATAGGGTTTTCTTTCCCTTGTAACATGACAAAAGTAAAGGAACCCTTTCCACGCCTACAGGCGTAAAGTAAAGGGCATATAGGGCTGAACCTATATTTTTTATAGACCAATCAGCACATGATGGGGGGGGGGGTGTGGTCAGCGTCACGCCGGCTGTCTTTACTTCCCTGGTCCTTACCCTAGAATTTGGGAGAAGGGATTGAATGTCTGGTCTTTTGAGATAAGCAAGTAAACTAACGAGGGTCCCCTGATCCGGAGTCTTGACTAAACCTTAAAAGGGGGCTACTATTGGGTAAGCTTTAGACCTTGACCTGAGAAGGAGATATATAGATCATGTCCCGACAAAGATCTGTAGACCTAACCCGACAAAGAGATCTATAGATCATGACACGGCAAAGAGATCTATAGATCATAACACATGACACGATAAAGTGATCTATATATCATGACCAGACAAAGAAATCTATAGATCATAGCACGATAAAGAGATCTATAGATCATGACACGAGAAAAAGATCTAAATAAATCATGACACGACAAAGAGATCTATAGATCATGACTGACAAAGAGATCAGTAGATCCTGAAACGACAAAGATCTGTAGACCTGACCCGACAAAGAGGGTCTGTAAACCTGAGCAATCTCTGCAAGCAGGTGTACAGACTAAGCTCTGCGTGTTGACCCTTTGACTAGACTCAACAAGGAGATCCATAGACTGACTCTACAAGATCAGTCGACGAGACTCTACATTTGAGTTGCATGGAATAAAATACGAGGGGATCTGTAGTCTAGACACGACAAGGGAATGAATAGTCACTACAAGAAAATCCGCAGACTATTCTAGAAGGAAATGCGTAGACTAAACTCTGCATAGAGATCCGTAGGCTGGAAAATAACTAAGATCCACCACAGACAACGCTACAGAAGACCTGTAGACTGAACACTAGCAAAATATTCATGAGCTTGACTACACTGGACAGATCCACAGACTAGACTAGATCATACAGTGATTCATATTCTTGACTAGACGTTAAAAAGCCATCAGCAAGTTTACTAGACCCTACAAGGTAATCCGCAGGTGCACTAGACATTACAAGCTTATCTAGGCCTCCCAATAGTCTGAAAGATCTGTCCAGTAGGCACCATCGGGTTACCACAAAAGCGCCATTCGCAAGCCACCAATATTGCAAGTGACCTATATTGCCATTTTCCTTGTAGTTTAAAGGTCGGTATCGACTGACAAACCTGAACGTTTAGAATGCCAATACAGTTCAGACTGTGACGTTGTTCAGAACCTTCTGAAGTAACCCGCCACTGTAACTATTCACGCCTGACGATCTCAAGAGTAAACATGAAATGGTGTCAATTATTTGGGCTGAAACAGCCATTCAAGAGATTTCTATCTGATGTATTCATTCACATCCGCTCATTTGTTAAATTTGACAAGGCCTTTATACGTAGTTTTATGTTGTGGGCACGATGTTTTTATATTTCCCCCATGGGCGCGTGCTCTTGCTTGACGATGTGGCAGGGCGGTGTGTGTTTCCTGGACGATGTGGCAGGGCGGTGTGCGCTTGCTGGACGATGTGGCAGGGGGGTGTGCGCTTGCTGGACGATGTGGCAGGGCGGTGTGCGCTTGCTTGACGATGTGGCAGGGCTGTGTGTGCTTGCTTGACGATGTGGCAGAGCGGTGTGTGCTTGCTTGACGATGTGGCAGAGCGGTGTTTGCTTGCTTGACGATGTGGCAGAGCGGTGTTTGCTTGCTTGACGATGTGGCAGGGCGGTGTGCGCTTGCTGGACAATGTAACAGGGCGGAGTGCGCTTGCTGAACGATGTGGTAGAGCGGTGTGTGCTTGCTTGACGATGTGGCAGAGCGGTGTTTGCTTGCTTGACGATGTGGCAGGGCGGTGTGCGCTTGCTGGACAATGTAACAGGGCGGAGTGCGCTTGCTGAACGATGTGGTAGAGCGGTGTGTGCTTGCTGGACGATGTGGCAGGGCGGTGTGTGCTTGCTTGACGATGTGGCAGGGCGGTGTGTGCTTGCTTGACGATGTGGCAGGGCGGTGTGTGCTTGCTTGACGATGTGGCAGGGCGGTGTGTGCTTGCTTGACGATGTGGCAGGGCGGTGTGTGCTTGCTTGACGATGTGGCAGGGCGTAGTGTGTGCTTGCTTGACGATGTGGCAGAGCGGTGTGTGCTTGCTTGACGATGTGGCAGGGCGGTGTGTGCTTGCTTGACGATGTGGCAGGGCGGTGTGTGCTTGCTTGACGATGTGGCAGGGCGGAGTGTGCTCGCTTGACAATGTGACAGGGCGGTGTGTGCTTGCTTGACGATGTGGCAGGGCGGTGTGTGCTTGCTTGACGATGTGGCAGGGCGGTGTGTGCTTGCTTGACGATGTGGCACGGCAGTGTGTGGTTGCTTGACGATTTGGCAGGGCGGTGTGTGCTTGCTTGACAATGTGGCAGGGCGGTGTGTGCTTGCTTGACAATGTGGCAGGGCGGTGTGTGCTTGCTTGACGATGTGGCAGGGCGGTGTGTGCTTGCTTGACAATGTGGCAGGGCGGTGTGTGCTTGCTTGACGATGTGGCAGGGCGGAGTGCGCTTGCTTGACGATGTAGCAGGGCGGAGTGTGCTTGCTTGACGATGTAGCAGGGCGGAGTGTGCTTGCTTGACGATGTGGCAGGGCGGAGTGCGCTTGCTTGACGATGTGGCAGGGCGGTGTGTGGTTGTCCGACGATGTGGCAGGGCGGTGTGTGGTTGTCTATCGATGTGGCAGGGCGGTGTGTGGTTGCTTGACGATGTGGCAGGGCGGTGTGGTTGCTTGACGATGTGGCAGGGCGGTGTGTGGTTGTCTGACGATGTGGCAAGGCGGAGTGTGCTTGCTTGACGATGTGGCAGGGCGGTGTTCATTTATGTTTTATGCTGCAATCTCAGCGTGTTAATGTATATATCTGCCTATCTGTCAGCCTGACTCTGCCACATGGGGTTGTGGTGAGCCAAAGCACACTCCAGAACATGTCGTACAAGATTGTCACTCTTCGTTGGCTGCTGACGAAGGAGACTGAACACATGTAACTGTGTCCCGTGGGCAATGATTCTAGATTCATTCATTTATTCAAGACTGTCCACATTTTGTTAGTCAGTGAGAAGAAATCTAGCCACAGGATCGACCCTGCAGTTGAAGCTGTGGGTCACCGAAAGAGACCCTTTGAGGGTTTTGTTTTAGAACCAGTGTTGGGATAGATACATAGGCACACGATGATAGCAGAAGACAAAAAAAAACGTCTATTTCTCTGTCTGTCTGTCTGTCTGTCTGTCTGTCTGTCTGTCTGTCTGTCTGTCTGTCTGTCTGTCTGTCTGTCTGTCTGTCTGTCTGTCTGTCTGTCTGTCTGTCTCCATACTCATTTAAGGACTTGAATGTATTCCTGTCTATATGTTTTTGGCACCCACATAATTGCTACATGTAATTTATTTACTCAGTCGTCTACTCATCCATTTGGTCAGTCGGTAGGTCTGTTTACCTGTCTACTAACACACCTATCTGTCTCTTTAGCAACATCTGAGCCTTCACTGTTTAGTCAGCAGTTTGCCACATCGATCTACTCTTTCTCTTGATTATCTCCCCTCGGCGCAGAACCAGGCATCCCTCATTTTTGTCTCTGCGTGAAGGTCATTAACCTATATGAATAGCTATCTTCTACTCCCCTCCCACCCCCACCACACACATCCATCATCATTACTAATATTTGCATAACCACGCTGGTGTCTCGACCATCGATCACAAAACCGCTGCCCACCATTATGGCTGCGTACCATCAAATGTCACCTGAAACTGGTTGAACTGGCGGAAACTGCACATACTTAAAGTTCTAGTAAACTCTGTGTAGAATGCACTAAAGGACACATATAGTAGTTGTAGTGATTTTAGTAGTTGTGGTGGTGGTACTCGGGGCATTCCCACAAGCGCTCTGTCCCCATACTCAGCAGCCAGCGAAGAGTTCCGATACTAATGGTGCCAGTAGCATTCTGATTAAATGTCTGTCTTGCCTTTCCTTTGAGCCTCGATCATCTGCCGGAACCTCTCGTCACTTCCCCCTGAATAAATCTCACCAGACTGTGGTGATCCATCTGCTCCTCCGAACTGTACACGCTCTCCCACAAGGCACTAACCATGTCTGCCTTATCATGCATCAGTATTCCACTAAGTTGTGCAGAGCCGGGTATGACATGATAGATAATAACAATAACGGGTGTTGTGTTGGTGATGATGACAATTCAGATGAGGATGTGGTGATGATGGACATGTGTATTCTCTATTTGCAGCCGAAAGGAAGACATCAATGGGCAAGGACTGGCACCCTGGCTGTTTGAAGTGTGGCAAATGTGGCAAGACATTAACACCTGGAAGCCATTCTGAGGTGAGTGTCTTACATAGACTGTTCATTAATTGATTGGTGTTCTTGTTAATTGATTGATTGGTTGTTAGTCTTCTGGAAGATTGTGAGTTTGACTATTTCAGTTGCTGTCTGTTCAGCATTATTGTCTATAAGATAACACGCAGCTATGTGGCTCTATGGTTAGTGAATGTGTTTAACATTTTATGATTCCCTTGTATTAGAGTTTGATTTTCTTTGCAGACTGTTTATTTATTTATTTATTTCTCATTTCCAAGACAGCAGTGGGTGTAGCCAAACTTCACTGGGAAGATGGCGCACAGTTTTATACATGATATTTCTGTAATTGTCTGGTACATTAACCCACTATTCCTTTACAGCAGAATGAGAAAGAATGAGAGATAAGTGTCTGAGAAGAAACAGACTTAACACAAATGTTGACAACAACGGTGTTCAAATCCCATGCTATAACTGTGCAAGACTTATCTTAACGCGGGCGGGTCTTGCTAGTGACACCTACCATCGCCATGGGCTGAGTCTCATGCCTCCTCATGGCACAATATAACCCACAATATAACACTGCCGTCTGGAAAGACAGAAAGATGCCAGTGAATGTTTTCTAGTACAAATTTTAGGTGGGGGTCGACCCAGGAGCCCAGTTGTTTTTACAAAAATCCACACTGATGCGTATTTGAACCCAAGACCCTGGAGCTGTGACTTGCTACTGCTGCAGTACCACAGCTCTAATATTACTAAACCCATTTTTATATAGACCAGGTGAAAGTCAGTGTGGTCAATATTGCTAGCAGGATTTGCTTCCCAGGACATTGCCCAGTACTCATTGTAGGCTGGATCAACCTGGAAGCCAAGGCTAATTTAAACACATTTTTGTTTTGATGCAGATTCCAGCAAACTCAAGACTTCTTATTGTACTCTACAGTGAATACAGGGAGTCACCATGGTATAGTGGCTAGATGCTCCACTGTGGATTTGAAGGTCATGGGTATGCATCCTGATGGAGCCAAACTTGTTTTCAAAGATGATCTGGGCTCCTAGGTTGACCCAGCCTTGAGTGGCTACCAGGCGCAGTCCTGGGAAGTAAAAGCAGCTAGCGTGTTGCTGACTCAATCACCCACCAAGGGCCGATTAGTCAATAAAATATAGGTCTAGCCCTATTTGCCTAGTTTGTCTGAAGGCATGGAAGACGATCCTTTACTTAGAGTGAATACAATGGATGAGTTTTCTTATTATTGCTTTGTAATGAGCCTATTTTTCTTCTTGCTTTCAGCACGAAGGGACACCTTATTGCACCAAGCCCTGTTACGCTAATCTGTACGGACCTGAAGGTGAGCTGTTGTCTAGAAATCGAGTACAACATTCATCATCATCATCATCACCATCATCAATATCATCATCATCATCCTGTTGTACTTTCTATACCAGCCATAGGGCTTGCAGTCTATTTCTCCATTCCTTTCTACCCTTGAAAACCTAATGAGATCGTGGATGGAATCCATTCTGGAGCCCTAGTCTTCTCTCACCTTACGTTCATCATAACAGTTCTCTTAGAGGTCGTCACTGCCTCAGTTCATTTGTATCTCATTAGCAGCAGTGAGGGACATTCCAAACCAAAATATGCTTGCCCTTCTTCTGGAGGAAAGAAACAGGACCCAAACTAAGATTCAAATAAAGCTAGCAGCTGGTTGAACGTGGTTGGGTTTTTTATTTTTTCTTAAAAGGAATTGGAATTGGAGCACAACTTTTTTCTTCTTCTTCTTTTCTAGCTCTGTTCTGCCTTTTAGTGTCAGGTTTTGAAGAGATCTCTGGTGTGAGCCTTTATCTGAACTACATAGATGCAAGTATTTATGGCCTTGGATATTCCAACTATCCCTTGCTTGTGTGGTGGACTCTAGTTCTGCTTCTATTGCGTCTAGTGACAAGGCTGTCTGTGATGGGCTATTTGGTGGGTGGTAGTTTTGGCACATGTTTGAACCATTTGATCTCTTATCTCTTGATTAGAAAAATTGTTGTCTGCTATTAATCATTATTCATTTATGGCTTATTGGTTGTGCTGTTGTTGTTGTTGTTGTTATCGATCCAGCGGCGCATGAGCTTTCGCCCTTTGGCCCAATCAATGCCATGTAGTGGAATTTGCATGTTTTCACAGGCTGTTCTTTTCCTCCGTACAAGGTGTTCCACTTGTCTGGTCTCGGAGGGAGTAACATTCTTCCAGTCTCGCTGAGTTTTGGGCACTCAAAGAGATGGTGTTCAACAGTTTCGTAGGGGTAGTTACATAGGGGAGTGTTGTGGCTGTATTCTGTTTAGATGTCCATTGAGTGGAGTATGTTGCGTTCTAAGTCTGAAGATGGTGGCCTGGTCCCATCTTGTTAGATGGTTAAGGCTGTCATTAGGATCAGGGCCGGCCATGTGTCTGTAAACCTCTCTTCCAGTGTCTCCCATGGCCCATCTGTCCAACCAAGTCTCTTTGTTTATAGCTCTTATAAGTGTTTTTGCTGTCTGTATGGTTGTCGCTGTAGGTGGTTGTTCTTATGTTGCTCCTTTCTTTACCAATCTGTCAGCTCTGTCATTACCTGGTGTGCCGGAGTGGCCTGGAATCCACTTATTGGTTGTGAAAGCAGTTTCATATCCCCAACATGTCAGGGTTTGAAGTCGGCTGCAGGTGATTTTTAGCAGTTCATGCTACAGTGATTTTGTCAACAGAATAAGTGTGAGAATGGTTAAAAAAGCAGTGAACATATAGTTGCCTAGAAAAACGACATAATAATAAATGCTTGGTTTAGTTTGCCATGTCCTGAAAAGAATTTGCAGTTTAAAAATTTAAAAAAAAAATTAATCGCAGATGTGAAAAAAAAAAAAAAACATGGTGCTGTCTCCATTGTGGAGGTTGGCTGTCATGTATCCACTCCTGACTATGGGAATGTTATGTAGTGAGGCTTCTAATCACTTCCATGGTGCAACTGTTATACCACTGTCTGAAAGCCCAGAGAAAAGTCTTTTTTCTAAACCGCCGACCACCAGAGTCGAACCTTGGTAGGCATTGAGGGTTCCATTGTAAAACACTCACTGATGTATGACTGGTTTTTTTGTGTGTAATAATTCATTAGCTGGGTGAATGGCTGACTGACTGAATAGTTGACTGACTGAGTGGTTGACTGATTGAATGGTTGACTGACTGAGTGGTTGACTCACTGATTAGTTGACTCACTGATCAGTTGACTGATTGAAAGGTTGACTGACTGAATGGTTGACTGACTGGGTGGTTGACTGCATGATTGGTTGGTCAGTTGATTACTTTACTCCTCTCTTTGATTTCTTGAATGATGTTTTGACTGATTAATTGTGAATGATGATAGATTGACATACTGGCTGATCATTGGTCAGTTGATTAAGGTAGTTGCATATCCTTAACAAACAGGACTTTGCAGAAGCAACTCCAGTATTTTTTGGCTGCTGTGGTTTTTTTAAGCCAATTTATGTCTAGTAGTTTGCCTTCTTTCTGAATGGTCAGCTCTCATTACCACTGTCAAAACCAATGCAAGACAAATCGTCTGCAGCTGGGATAGAACCAAGCACCCCGGCATTATGAAATGTGGTCTCATCGCCTAAGCCACAGATGCCAACTCAGTTTATTGACTGAGTGATTATAATTGATTGACTACCCAGATGATTACCTTCTTGTCCAGTTGATTTATTAGATTTCAGCAGCATCTTTATTACACTACACAATATCTGTCCGTGCTTTGACCTCATGTTTTTTATTTAAACTAATCATCTTAGTATTATCTTAGTGTTTATCTAAACACTTAATTGTGCTTACTTTAGCTTTTAATTCTGTTTTTGTTAATTTTCTGACTCTCTTCATAACTGGCCTATTTTCAGGCTTTGGCCGAGGTGGTACATCGGGCGAGAAAGCGAACTATGAGAAGTAAAGCAAGAAACCACATCTCTGTAGCATCAAGACCTTGCTGTATACCATCATGTAGCAACATACATTTTTTTTTTTTTTTTTTTAGAAATTGTAAGCACTATCATCATGCTCTTAAATTTGTCTGAACTGAAGAATATTTGTCTTCAGAATTGATCAGATATTTTTTGAGTCACTTTTGCTTTCATCTCACAGTATGCCATTTTTTTGTATGTTATCTTCATCTTTTTTTTTTTTTTGGAACAAAAAAACAACATATACCTTGACACTAGATCACTATTTTTAAAAATGTATTTAGTAAACAAAAACTGTGACTAAGACACTCAGCGAGGATGAAAAGAAAATATATGTGCAGAAGGTTTCAACCAGAGGTTTAATCAATGGAAAAATATCAAAAAGAAGAATTTTCAACAGCAGCCTCCAAATGAAGAAGCTACGCGAACAACTATAATTCTCATTTAGCGAATTCATGTCTTGATACCAACTCAGTTGCAGTAAAAAAAAAAAATCTGCAAAAACCTTCGAGGCAGGAGGCAAATGTCTGAAACATCTGATCATTGTGTTACCATGTCACCCATCTATATGGAGTTTATCCTAAAACTTGTTTTCTCTACTTTGTCAATTTTGGAAGCTCTTAGAGTATAGCCATCATTTTACTTTTTGCGTGTTTAATTTAAACTTGCATTAATTGTCTTGCTCTTTGTTCTGTTGGTCTGAGATTAAATAAAAAGGTTAAATTGCAGTCTGTTCCTTATAATAAAAAAAAACATTCGACCACAAACTTGAAATTACGTCTACATCTGTGATAGATTTCAATGGTGCTTGTACGTGAACAATTACTTTTGCTCTTTCTCCATACTCTCAAATTACTGATTTACTTCAGAAAATATCAGTCTGTTATTTCCTTATCATTTATTAAAACATTTATTAAAAATTGGCTCTATTTGACTCATTCATTATATACTTAATGTATCAATTGCTTTGAAATAAAAGGAATACAATTATAATGGTCAGTGAAATTTGGATAGGGAAGAAAAAGTAATTATTTGGTAACATTTTGATATTTGAGTAACAACTTGGAATCTACCTTTATGATGTCTCAAATGCTGATACTATAAATTTAAAAGCTTTGGTTAACTTTAAAACATGTGTTGTTGTTTTTTTTTATTGATATTATAACACATGTTAAAATAAAGACATATCTTTGATCCCATTGTCTGATATTGTGTGTGGTTGTGTGATGTATTGTGTGTGTCTGAGTGATGTATTGTGTGTGTCTATGTGATGTATTGTGTGTGTCAATTGTCTGATATTGTGTGTGTCTGTGTGATGTATTGTGTGTGTCAATTGTCTGATATTGTGTGTGTCTGTGTGATGTATTGTGTGTGTCTGTGTGATGTATTGTGTGTGTCTGTGTGATGTATTGTGTGTGTCTGTGTGATGTATTGTGTGTGTCTGTATGATGTATTGTGTGTGTCTGTGTGATGTATTGTGTGTGTCTGTATGATGTATTGTGTGTGTCTGTGTGATGTATTGTGTGTGTCTGTGTGATGTATTGTGTGTGTCTGTGTGATGTATTGTGTGTGTCTGTATGATGTATTGTGTGTGTCTGTGTGATGTATTGTGTGTGTCTGTGTGATGTATTGTGTGTGTCTGTGTGATGTATTGTGTGTGTCTGTGTGATGTATTGTGTGTGTCTGTGTGATGTGTGTTTTACTTACTGTAACATATGCACAATTACAGAGGAACACAGGTAGCCTTTTCAGCTTTCTAAAAATTATTCCTTGTTGTTTTCCGATTCAAGAATTGACGTGATAACATACAATAGATTTTCCCTCTTCCACAGTTTCTTCTTATGCTACTTTTTCTTCTCCTTCTTTTTTTTCCTCCTCCTCTTCTTCTTCTTTCTCCTCTTCTTCTCCTTCTTCTTCTGCTTCCTTCCTCTTCTGCTTCTGCTTCTTTTTCTTCTTCTTTTTCTTTTGCTCCTCCTACTCTTAGTTCTCTTCCTCCTCTTTTTCTTCTCCTTCTTCTTCTGCTTCTTTTTCTTCTTTGGCTGTAAACTCTGGCTGAAGGATTTGGATGTTCATCCACTTTAGTCTTGTTCCAGAACTTGAGTTTTGCATACACATCAATTTTACAAATCTAACTAATTTGTATGCAGACTGTTGGTTCCTTGCCTCTCATGCAGAAATACTCCAGCTTCAAAGGAAATGCCTCTAATTAGTAGATTCTTACAACATGCTTGTTAGGGGGGCAGAGGATCTGTTCTCCCCCCCCCCCCCACACACACACACAATGAGGCCCCAGAATCCACACAGAGATCTTCCTCAGCAATTATGAGGTTAAAATGCTGACTGGCCCAGGAGCACACTTGTTGACACGTGTCATATTGTTTCCCTCATAGTCCTGTCTTGCCGTGTCTAGACTTTATATTAATGCAACCTTACACATCTAACATTGTATCTTCAATCATCATTCAATCAAATATGGTTTTGCTGTGGTTGTATTGTAGACAGTCTTAATCAGCACAGAGAAACATCTCATACAAGGCATATTCGTTCTCGTTGTATGCTAGAGTAGCAGACATGTTCACTCACACCAACAAAAATTAGTAACCACAACAATGAGATGTCTAAGAAGAGCTGCAGGAGCAGCCAGAGATATAAAATCATGAATGAAGCCATAGGCAGACAAATCACAGAACAAATTCTAAATTATATACAAAGATAGCATATAAATTGTTTTGCTATTTAGAGATGATGCCATGTGACGCCATACCATACAGGAGACTAGCAGAGAGACATTGAGCATGAGGTAGACCAAGAACTATGAGGGAAGCTGACAGCAGAGAACTCTGCAACAGCACAGTGTATCTATAGTCGAAGCAGACAGAAGAGCAACAATCGGAACCTGTATCTCCCTGTACACCAGCGACTCTCAACCTGTGGGTCTTGACCCTTTCACAGGAATCGCCTAAGACCGTTGAAAAAAACATATTCACTGAAGTTATAAAGTAGCAACGAAAATAATGTTATGGTTTGGGGTCACCCCATCATGACATGAGGAACTGTATAAAAGGATCGCGGTATTAAGAATACTGAGAACCACTGCTGTACACCCAACGCTGTAAAAGAGGAAGTGAACAAGAAGCTGCACTGTAATTATTGTTCTTCTCTGCTAATCGAGTCATGCTAGATTCAATCTGAAGATAAGGTTCGTCAGCAAGTCAGAACGTCGCTCTCTTCGTATCCCTTTTCCTAACCAGCTCTCCGGCCCAATGTGCTTTCAATACCAATGCATCTTCAATGTCTTGTATACATCTTCGCGGTGGTCGACCCCTGCCTCGCCTTCCACAAACTGTACCTTTCATCAACGTCATTTCCAAGCCACATAACGCTTGATGTGGCCAAAATACGGCAACTTTCGGGACAGGATGCTGTTTATGAGCCCGTTCTCCCTGATGTTTAACTCGTTCAGACTGTCGATGTTTTCCCTCTTCCTGATTCATGGTATTATAAGAATTTTTCTAAAACATTTCAATTCAAAAGCTTCATTCTTTTTCCTCAGTGACTGAGTGAGAGTCCAAGACTCACAACCGTAAGTTGCCACAGAAAAAATACATGATCTCAAGTTTTTTACTTTAACCAATTTACTAGTGCTTTGCCATAGGTTCTTAATTCTATTCAATCTTTGCATTGCTAATGCAAGTCTTCTTCTGACTTCTTTTGAGCAGTCGCCATTGTTGTTCACTAAAGAGCCCAAGTATTCTAAATCTGTTACATTTTCTATTTCTTCATTTTAGATTGTGATACATGGTTGGTGTGCTGTATTTACTGAGGACAACATGTTTTTTTTTTAAAATTCAAAAAAAGAAAAGATTCACTTCTTCGCAAAAGATAAGATTAGGCGTGTATTTATTCTTGCATTTTAATTTAACATTTTCCAGGTGTTGTAACTCTGGAAGGCAGAATGAGATTTTCATTCTTAAGTTGTCCCCCACTCGTATCTTCACGAAATATGACTGTGTTGTTTTTCTTCTTGTGCAATCTGGTAATCTGATAATCTACCAGATGTACTCATGTCTTTCTCCTATCCTTAAACTGTTGTGTGTCGGGCTCCTAGTGGGTCCAGAAAATAATTTCGTTCATTTGATGGCTTGGTGGAACGTCTTTCGACCAGTTTCATGCTACAGAATGAGATTTTCATTCTTAAGTTGTCCTCGACTGTCTTCACAAAAAATGACTGGGTTTTAAATTCTTACACTTGTGCAAGGTTTACTCTTTGAAGTGTAGGATTTTTTTTTTTTGTTGTTGTTGACATTGTTGCATGGTTTAGGTGTTAGAACGTAGGATTTTTATTTTTTATTTTTGCAATTATCTTAAGGCATAGTTTGAAGATGGAGTATTGGGTTTTTAATTCTCGCATTTATAAAAGGTATACTGTGTAAAACGTGAAATTATTTTTGAAATCCTTGCATTTATATAAGGTTCATTCTCTCAAACGTAGGACTGCTTTTTAAATTCTTGTATTTGTGGAAGGTTCACTTGTTAAAATTTAGGAATGTTTTTTTTTTTTTTTAAATGTATTTATGAACAGTTTTGCTTGGGGCTGGGATAAAATCCAAATCGCAGGCTGTCAAACCAGTGCACCAGACAATAAAAAGAAATGTAACTTCAAGCTTTGCGTTAGCTCTTGGAACGTGAGGACCATGTGTCTCGGGTTTTCCACTGACCTGGAAAACATTAGTGATGTGAGAAAAACGGCTGTCATTGATGCCGAGCTCAGTAAACTTGACATAGATATTGCTGACCTACAGGAGACACGTCTGCTAGAAGATGGGTTCAACAGAGAAAATAATTATACATTCTTCTGGAAAGGTAGAAGTCAGGAAAAAATCTGGAAGTATGTAGTGGGATTTGCAGTAAAGAATTCACTGTTGGTATCAGTTGAGAGTTCAACTGGAGAAAATGACAGAATATTATTCCTACGATTGTCTACCCCAAG